AACCTACTAGCAATGGCCTCCAACCTAAGAGCGATGGCCTCCAACCTTCCAGCTATGGCCTCCAACCTGGCTATTAGCTTCTGAAAAATTATACTCTGCGGTTTTCACAGTTCTCCAGTCATAGTTACCGGGCCCAGCCTGGCGCTGACTCTTATCTAATCCGGCAGGCCGGTCCGAATGGTCGAGGTGGCAATATCGGCATTCAGCACCGCTTTGACAGCTGCCGCGAGCGAAAAACAAACATGGTCGATGGCCTCAGATTCAGAGAACCAAGTTTGTTTCCTTAGAATTTTGTCCACCCCATAAGCATCCATAGACTGGCCTTCATTTCATTCTTGGATGCACATCACGATCGCTATCTAACGGCAGCTCCCACTAGTGCCAAGGAGCAAAGCTCAGGATGTCCCTGCGATCCTTCGGTGGGTTGCCAGTTCGTCAGATGCGACAAACTGGACTCTGAGACATCTTCTCCCGGAACAGTGGAGACGGTCGCAGGATCCACTGCGACCTTCCATGGGGTGTCCTGCCACCAAGTCACACACTCTGTTGCTAGGACTGGGGGTGAAACTGCAACACTTTCAGGATGTCCATGTCAAGACCTGCTTTTGAAAAAGAAATTTTAAAAAATAGTAGTAATAATTAAAAAGAAAAAACACCTAAACAACTTGAGCTACTAAGGCTCCCGTTGAGTTTTCTCTCTCTTCTCTCCCTCTTCTCTCCCCCACTTCGCCTGGGGATGATTGATCTGCGTCAAGCCTGGGGGCAGGCTGACGTAGGCAGGCTCACACATCCCTGCGACCATCATGGCGACACGGGTGGACAGGTCCTTTGACCACCCGGAAGTCCCTTGAACCCCAACAGCTATCAACAGCAATACACGGAGGCACTTCATGTCGCGTCAGGTTTGTGTGCGAGCTTCTTCCATGAAAGCGATTGCAATGAATGGTGTAAAAGGATTTTGGGATCAAGAGAGAGAGAGAGAGAGAGATAGAGAGAGAGAGAGACACAATAAAAGTATGTACGTACTGTACGGTATGTTTCATGAAAGTCACGGCAAACTCGCTCTGAGAACCAGCTGAGATTGAGTTTCGCCCTGTAGAACTTGCTGTCGCTCCTGTAAGAACAGGATTTTCAGCAAGGTCGTAATACCAGCGACTCCTTCGCCTTAGGAATTTCTGGTTTGGAGCTTGGAGGAATCTCCTCAAACATCAAAAACAGGTTTCCCGAGCCAGTCAAGCCGTCCCAGTGTGTTTCCTTGCCAAACTGTCTTTGACTGGGACCCCTCGAGCAACTCAGGCCTTGACCATGTCCTTTGTTGCACTTGCCCGACATCAAAATGAACGGATCTGCACAACGTGCGACGGAGCAGCTTGGATAGGCCCCCGCTGCAATCTTTGCATGGATTAGGCCTTCTTAGATCTTATAAGGACACAAAATACTAGTTGCAAGAACTTCACTTTGCACTCCCTACCACATCCGACCTGGACGCGGGCCATGAACCTTCTCAATGGCTCCCATCCTTAAAACCAGCACCACCGAACCCTTTCCGACGGGAAAGTGCCATTCCAGCCTCCAAGCTTCCAAGCACCGATTTTGGGTGGGTAGATCTTGAAGCCCAGAGCACAATCAGCGTAGTTTCGACACTTGTGATAGCCATAGAGCAGGAGTCATGATAGTGAGACCCCGCTTACAAAAGCCCGAAGGTGCTATGCTTCGTCTACAGTCTGCTTCTCCGGCTCAGGGCCGAGCTCAATCGGATCCCCCAGCAAGGAGCCGTTTGCCTAGCACTTTGCAACGCAAAATTCTGAGCACTCATTCTGCTCACAGATTCTGACAGATTCTGAGCTTTCCAGAGAGCTTCCGCCTAAACCGTTCTCTAACCCGAATCCTACGCCTCGGCCCTTCACTGAAAGCCCGCGAGGCGAATAGAACGCATTCGTGGGCTTAGAGGAGGGTTGACGCGTAAAGAGATGTAAACCATCACATGTAAAGAAACCAGTGCACTCACCCAAACGCCTGGCACTCTGAGGCCACCTGACATGGCACTTCGGCACTTCGACGAGTTAAATGATCCACGAACGTTGTTAATAAGCTGAAATGACAAGACTCCCCATCTCTCCGCGTCCGCAGGTAGCGGAAGGTACATGCGATGCGATTTCCTCTTTTGAAAGCGTTCAGAATCTTTTGAATTTGAAAGCGTTTTAATGTTTTGGGGGTTGGGGATTTGAGAAGCGGGCAAGCTCTGAGCTGGCGATGCGGCAGCGCCGCCAGGTCTCCCGCAAGAGCTCTTGCTGCGCAGGCCTCAGTCTCTCAAGGTATCAATCTCTCCGGCTCCCTTTAGAGTCCCACCGGTTCCCCCAAAAAATGTCCGAAAGCGCAACTATCTCTACATTTGGCTCTAGATGAGCACAAAATACAGCCGAGTGGAAAGGAATCGGATCAATTTGTATCGGCCAGCCCTGATGTTGTGAAATCTAGGCCTCCTTTACCCCCATCTGTCCGAATCCTCACATGGGTCCCCCCCAAAAAAAAAGATTGGCTACTAGGAACAAGTGCCACGCTAGTAGTAACAGGTGCCTTACTAGTAGTAACAAGAAGCTACTAGGAACAAGTGTCACTTGAGTTTTTCGTGTAGGATTTATGTTGGGCCCAAAGCCCGCTGGGTGCCGTGAGCTGGGCACTGCCTCAGGGCGGTTCTCGCACAAGTTTGCTGTTGAAAGGAACGAGATCGGGACAAAGGGTTTTGTGCGTGTGTGTTTATCAAAGTACTATATGGAGATCGTTACAAAGAGATAGATTGTGCAACGCAATTGCCGTGGATTGTTTGGCTTCCTGGAAGGACTTGGGTTCGATGACGACATTGCAAGGAATATCAGCCAAAAGAGGGAGGCCATCACTATCATATCATTAGGGTGGAGGCCATCGCTACAAGGGTGAAGGCCTGTGCTACAAGGGTGGAGGCCATCGCCTCAGGACAAGCCAGCAAAAGCCAACGAAAACGAAACTAAGCGACTAAAGCCAAATGACCCAAAGTTACGCACGGTCAGGGGTTTCTCAATCTGTATTGTTTGCAACATGCAGCTTTCAGCTGCCTGCAACATTACGCAGCATACAGGGAAATCTCTTTTGTGGGGAATCACACCGATCGTTAAAGTAAATTTCTAGCTGTTGCGGCATCAATTGTAACAGCTGCTTTGTAAGGGTGCGGTTAAGGAAGGTCTCGAGTCTGTTCCAAGCTGCTACGCAGTCAACAAACATTGCTGCGGCGTATTGAATTTGGGTCCATGTTTCAGTTGACAGTGCCCAAAACAATGTCGTAAACTGAAGGCCACGTGAAGGAGGGGGGGGCGTTCCCCTCGCTGATTGTCCGCAGTGATATGTCTCAAAGGTTTGTTCGAAAGCATCCAAAGTGCAGTTATGATTTCTTGTGGGTAAGAGCTACAAGAAACATAATCTTCCGAAACCGTCAAACAGGACCGAAACAATATCTAATGAAAATGCTACAAAGTGGTTGCAAAATATTGAAAGTCCAACACAAATCCGTGAACCACAATATATTGAATGAAGCAAACAGAGAGAGAGAGAGAGTGGTGCAATTCTGCAATTCCAGGCTTCTGGCGGCCATCCTCCATCACCTGAAGCAGCAATGTCAATCTCGCAGAAGTCAGCTTGTGCTCAACCATGAACTTGGAGCTTTCATCAGTGAGTTTGCGTCTACAAAAACAGCATCACTCTGATAAATATCGGCCCCACATGGCTTCCACGGTAGATTGCCATCGGCGTACCACTTCGGCCAAGCACCTGACACGTTCACTACTTGGAGGAGGAGTTACTCTTGCATATTGTAACTGATTCATTTCAACAAAGAACTAGTAGGTTGGAGGACATTGCTATCCCGTTCCGTTCGAGGCCATCGCTCGTAGGTTGGAGGCCACCCGCTAGTAGGTTGGAGGCCATCGCTTCAAGAATTAATAAAGAATCTATGGATGCGATCCACCTGATATGACATTGCATTAAGGTAGGAGCTGCCAAACCCCACAGCGAAATCTATCCAACATGTGGAAGGAAGCACCAATATGACAATATGCATTTGACTGCATGCGGTCCAAATCAACTGTCAGAAATGTCCTCTCTGGAAAACTACATGCCCCTCCGGCGGGTCCACATTGATTGTTGGCACGAAACATCTAAAACCCGACAAACTGGCCAGGAGAACGATGGCGCCACAACCCTCGCCCACAACATATCCATCCGCGGTGGCGTTGAAGGGTGCCGAATGGCCAACTCGTGAAAGCCTTGGTAAAGTGTTTCAATCCATGCGAAAACCTCAATCAACGAACATGTCAGTGCCAAACCCTCAAAATGAGAGAGAGATTCTCTTCAAAATGATTCTCTCTCCTGCAGTTCTCTGCGAAGTATGGGTTTGCTCAAGCCGACCCATCAGGTCCAGACAGGTTGATCGCACAGCGGCCGTGGAACATCAGTGGGCTAAGCAAGTGGTTGACACCTCTCAGAGATTGGACCAAGAACAAGAAGAAAGATCTTAAAAAACAAAAGCAAACAAGCAAATATTTTCAACAGGTGAATAACATGAGATCATCGCAAGCTTCAAAAATCTGAAGAACTCTTGGAGTCACCTTTAGGACGTACAAGTACAGGTACTCTGGTGTAACGTGATATATTTTTCATACACGTTGTGAATCCCTTCTCACACAGCTTCACGGCGGCGTACCCAGGGCCAAGGTCAAGCTGGCCCGCCCACGGCGGAGGTGATTCGCTGCCAAATCAGCAGCTACCAGAGAGGAGGAGCAGCCTGGAAACATCGAAAGGAGCAGCCTGGTGATCTCCGACTCCTCTCGCAAATTGCGACACACCTCTAGAGCGCTTCGGCTGGATCTCACATTTTGCGGAAATTGCGAGGCCCTGAAGGCGCTCCGTTTCACGGCAGTTCTCCCTTGCGCCATGCCCTGCCTGTGTCCATGAAAAGGGACGGACCACGCCTGGAGCTTCTCTCGAAAGAAACATTATGTATGTTTATGTGCTGTCATGACTACAGTACCTCGAACAAAGCAGCAACTCTGGTTTCTGAGGACCAAGCAAACCAAGCACATGTGAGATTCTACTCGATAGCATGGCCACATTGCCACCTACGTCGGCTTAAAAATGAAAAAAAACAGCACGATGAGCCGGCACATAACACACATCACATCTCTATGTTTTGGCAGAAGATGAAGTCCGGCAAATACTTGTCATCGATTGGTCACGTCAATTCTGCATTCTGCTCGTTGGTGCGACCGTTTTGCTGCGTTACGCGGTGGGTCCCATGGGTACTGAGGCTCCAAGCGATCATAGAGTCCAGCCTCCTCGGAGTCACGTCACTGAGTGTCGATTCCGAGTTGATCCCCATTGCCTCCATATTGAACAAAGAAGAGGAATTGGCAAACAAGGACATGGATGCGAATTGAAACTAGCCCAAACCCTTTCAGTTCCACAGACTGATAGAGTTTTCTATCATTTTCTCTGAAACTTGACCCACATCAGATTATATGTCATCCAGGTCCCCCGACAGACATTGCGTGATCAAAGTTCATGCTGCCAACCTTATCATCTGTAGAATCTAACCGGTTCAACAGCATAGATCTGAGAAACAACATGGATACAGTAGGCGTCCGTAGGTAACCAATGGAACATCATGGAACCCAACACAAAAAATATAACGTGCAGTGGCTGCTACCAAAATCTAGTCAATCACCATGTAGCGCCAAGTCGGATTGATCTCACCAATCCAGGAGCTTGGGTTTCCGCACATAAACTCCGCAACAGCTATTGAGCAAGCCCTTGCGCGTCATCTTGGCAGATCGGA